CGAAAACGCGGAAAAGACGCGCGGACATGCGGAAAAGACGCGCGGGGATGCGGAAATGCGGAAAATACGCGCAGAAACGCGGAAACGCGGAAAAGACGTGCGGAGACGCGGAAACGCGGAAGAGACGCGCGGAGCTGCGGAAACGCGGAAAAGACGCGCGGGGATGCGGAAATGCGGAAAAGACGCGCGGGGACGCGGAAACGCAGAAAAGACGCGCGGGGACGCGGAAACGCGGAAAAGACGCGCGGGGATGCGGAAATGCGGAAAAGACGCGCGGGGACGCGGAAACGCGGAAAAGACGCGCGGGGACGCAGAAACGCGGAAAAGACGCGCGGGGATGCGAAAATGCGGAAAAGACGCGCGGGGATGCGGAAATGCGGAAAAAACGCGCGGGGATGCGGAAATGCGAAAAAAACGCGCGGGGATGCGGAAATGCGGAAAAAACGCGCGGGGATGCGGAAAAGACGCGGAAAATACGCGCAAAGACGCGGAAACGCGGAATGTCACGATACACCGAAGATGAACTATAAGCCGTGGGCAGATGCGCTCGAGAAGAATAATGTGCAACTATACGACACAGCAGAAGGTAAAGAACCTATTACGTTATTAATAGGAGCTGATGTTGCAGGAAAATTATTCACGGGAAAAGTAGTCCAGCTGGATGACGGTGCTACAGCCATACAGACGAAACTCGGGTGGACCCTCCTGGGAAAAAATCTGGTCGACACACGAGAAGATGCTGCTCTTATGGTCGTATCCATGCTATCGCAGGAGGCAAGTGTATCAAATTTGTGGAAGCTGGATATCTTGGGGATCGCAGATCCTTTAGAGATTAAAACCAAGGAGGCACATCTAGCAGATGTAAAGACATTATTTCAAGATACGACTGGAATCAATGAAGAAGGACGTTACGAGGTTCTATTGCCCTGGAAGGAAAAGCATCCGTCACTCCCAGTTAACAGAGATGTAGCGGAAAAGAGGTTAATATCTGTTACAAAAAAGCTGCGACAGGAAGATTGGTACGAAGATTATGACGGAGTTTTCAACGATTGGCTTTCCGAAGGCATTATAGAAGAAGTGCCACTTGAAGAAATTGACAATAAAGGATTCTATCTCCCCCATAGACACGTTGTTAAAGAAGGAAGTACAACGGTAATACGTCCAGTATTTGATGCTTCAGTCAAGATGAAAGATTCACCCTCGTTGAACCAATGTCTGAAAACAGGCCCCAACCTCATTGAACTCATTCCGGCCATGTTGCATCGATTCAGGGAAAAGAAGATAGGAGTATCAGCGGACATAGCAAAAGCCTTCTTACAGATAAGTATCGCACCATCGGACAGAGATTTTCTACGATTCTTGTGGTGGGATACCTCGGAGAAAATTAAAATTTACAGGCATTGTAGAGTGGTCTTCGGGGTATCGAGCAGCCCTTTTTTATTAGGAGCTACTATTGGGCTACATCTTCGACGAAACCTAGAATTGGCCACCTCATACAGAAAATCAGTTTGTGAGAAATTAGCCAAATCATTCTATGTAGACGACTGTGTCACCAGCGTTGATTCTTACGCCGACTTCCAGACTTTCAAAGATGAAGCCACTTCTTTGATGAGCGAAGCTAAATTCAATTTAAGAAAATGGCGATATACCGGCATGGAAGAGTCAGATAGTCAGACTACGGTACTCGGTATTTTATGGGATACGAAGACAGACACTCTGGCTTTATCAGGAGCTTATTTAGACGTACCGGAGAAGATAACTAAAAGAGTCGTACTCTCATCGGTGCAGAGAGTATTTGATCCCCTAGGTTTCATATGCCCTGTGCAGCTGATACCGAAACTGATGTTACGTCAATTCTGGAGTCAACATCTCGACTGGGACACTGAGATTGATGCAGAGAACAGAAGTAAATTTCTAGAATGGATGCAGCAGTTAAATTTACTTCGAGTCATGAAGATCCCTCGCTGGATTTTTGGTGAGCAGCGGGATGAGGATTCTATATCCTTCCATATTTTTGTAGATGCAAGCAAGGATGCCTACGCCGCCGCTCTGTTTATCAGAGTGCGATCCAGAGCTGAAGTCAAGGTGCATCTAGTTGAAGCAAAGTCAAGGGTAGCACCGCAAGGAAAGAAAACGATACTCCGTCTCGAGTTACTGGCTGCTTCAATCGGAGCAAGGATGATGCACTCCTTCGACAAAGCAATGAATTATAAACATATTAAGAGATATTTCTGGAGCGATTCAACGACCGTCTTGTCCTGGATACGTCAAGAGAAGCAATGGGCGGTATTCGTATGGAATCGAGTCCAGGAAATAAGGAAGCTTACTAATCCAAAGTCCTGGAGATATGTGCCTGGAGCCCTAAATCCGGCAGACTTGCCCTCCAGAGGCTGTAATGCGAGGAAGCTTTTGGAGTCTAGATGGTGGGAGGGCCCAGCATGGCTAAAGTCACCACCCGAAGAATGGCCAGCAGAAGAAGAAGAAGCCGATGAAGCTCTAATTAATGAAGAACTTCGTAAAACTCCAACACAGTCAAAAATTAAAGAAGAGACATTTTCTGTGGTTGGGGGGAATATAGTTATGAGTAACATTACGAAGGACTCTACAGCACAAGGTGTTCCATGGTATTTACAAAGATTTTCATCGTATTCCAAAGTTTTACGTCTGATGGCATGGATGTCAAGGTTCATCACAAATTGCAAGAAGACACACACGATCAAGGATGAAGAGATAACTGCGAAAGAAGTGATTTCGGCTGAATTGCTTTTGTGTCGATTGGCACAGAAAGAATCGTTCAAAGGAGCCAAAGATCCGCGATTACTAGAACTGGACGTCTTCGAGGATAAAGGACTTTTACGCTCACGAACAGTGATTTCTAATCGGCAAGACAATTTCAATTTTAAGTATCCAATAATTCTTGATCCAAAGCACTTACTGACAGAGAAGATTATTCGTTACACGCATGTGAAACTGAATCATGCGGACATAAGCACCACTATGAACAACCTACGAGAAAAGTTTTGGATTCTTCAAAGCCGCAAAGCAGTACGTTCGGTAATTCGCAAGTGCGTCACATGTCGCAGATACAGCGCAAAGAGAATGGAATCCCAGTCTGCGATTTTGCCAGAGAATAGAGTTAGAGACGCCGCTGCATTCGAGGTAACGGGTGTAGATTATGCT